TCTCCGCCCCCGTCTCCCGCCTCGGGGCTCCCCACCGAGCACCGGCCGGTCCCCCGGGGAGAGCTGCACCGCGCTGCTGCTCTCCGGGGGAAAACCGCGTTTGTTCCGCCCTCCCCGCCGGGCCGGGGCAGGCTGCAGCCGCACGGCGCAAGAAAAAATCGGTGGGAAAAAAAATCAGGAAAGGGGAGATGTGCAAAACCAAATCACTGCAACAAGAGCTGAGTAAGGTATTGATACTGAAAACTACATCAGCGTAACAGACTGTACGTGTTTTCTTTAAACTCCCAACCGCTTTGCGGGGGAGGACCCCTCGGTGGGCAAAGCCTTCGCAGCACGTAGAGGACAGCAGAGCAGCCAGGCTGCTGAAACCACAGGAAATTCAGAATGAGCAGTTTGGGAACATTTTCTGCAGCACTGTGGGGCTGGGCTAAATACAAACAAAGCCTGAAACTCATCCACACCACGGGTGTGTGGCTCAGGACCAACCGCTGTGGCTCTGGCAGTCCCTCTTGGGCACAGCACAAACCCCCGCGTCAGATCCCCCTTGGTGCAGTTCCCAACAGCAACACCCGAAGCATCACCCTGGGGACAGGACAGCCCTGCCCGATGGTGATGAGCACCCAGGAGGCAGCGATGGGGAGAGAAAACCAGACAGCTCCTGCTGCCCCATGCTCTGGGCTCCGATTATCCTCCCTTCGGGCAGCAGGAGGGTCAGGGCAGTCCTGTGGGGTCCAGCTGAGCGTAAGCACTCCGGAGAAAAGGAGTAAACAAACTGCAGCCAGACGTGAGCATAACAAAATATTTAATGTACCTTTTCGCAAAGGTAGGCACACGTTGTGCGCATTGTGCTCGGATACTTTCAAACAGCAGCTGCAAAAGATCCATCCAGGCAACACAGCAAAATGCCACAGAGAATTACAGTTCTACATCACAAGAGAAACTTAAACCCAAATGAAATACAACCTATTCCAAACTCAACTGCAAAACATTAATTTCTTTTCTAAAATGATGCTGTGCAAGCTCTGGATGAGCATCCTGAGAACAGGACTGTCCTAGGAACTGGGCGAGCCAGCCAGCGCCACAGGAAGCAGTGCATTCATCACAGAACTTGTGCGTCAATGTTCTCCCGCCCGAGGCCAGCTAAGAGCCATGGTGGATCCCCTGACAACCGCAACGCAACTTGCCTTGAACACTTCGCCTACTAAAGTGCTTTTGGACATTCTGATGGTAAAAGGCACTAGAAGAAAACAGACGTTAATTGCTGAGTGGCTTGTGAGGTGAATTTGAGGCAATGCAAATCCCCGCTGATAGGATTACATCACAGCGAAATCCCAGCCATCCCAACGGGGATGTCCCAGTGCAGCCTCACAGCGAGTCACCCACTGCATCGAGTCACTTGGAACTGAATCGGTGTGCGCAGTTTCCAAGAGCAAATCTGTTCCAGTGTACAGGAGAATGAGATGACTACGGATCTCTCCCACCTTCCGCTCCTCTAATTCTAGGACATTTAGCTTCAAGTGGTGCGTGTTTTTCCAGAGCAGCATCAGAAATAAGACCTGGCCTTGGGGCACTGTGCACTAAACCAGTGTCATTCCCTAAGACAAAACAATATTCCTGTTACAGTCCTTTCCCCAGCAGCAACTCCCAGTTAGCAAAGTGCACATTGGACATTTCTGAGACAGATGCTGCTGACCAGAAGCGAGTGACAAAGCGACTGTCTGATGCAACTTCTAAGATGGTGTAGTTGAGGTTGTCCCTTCTTTCTCCTTCACTCCCTAGAGACCAGGTGCCTTTATGGGCCTGTGATGTTTGTGACTAAGGCCCAAAGGGATATAAACCAGGCCGTGTGTCAGAGCCCTCTGACCAGGGAGTGTCTCCTCCACAGCCTGGGCCAGACTGGCACAACACCCTGAACTCCAACCGTGCCATCTGTTGGATGGAGGCCAGCTCATTTAATGCAGAGTGGAGGAAAAATGGATCCCAGAGCAGAAAAGCTGCTCTGTGGTCCCCACTGGAGCCCTCTCTGCAGAGCAGCCAAGCTGCATGGCCCTGAAGCTGTTTGCCTGCATCACCTCGAGCTCCACAGCATGCTTGAACATCATCTTAGCAGAGCAGTTTTCTGTTCTTTATTCTTTGCCACTGTGGCAACCAAAGCAACTCACTCCCTATTTCAGAGATTGCAATTCACACTGCCGAGTTCCTGACCTTTTTCCCTCTATTTTGTGCGGTTTAACAGCAGCTCTGTGACATAAAATGAAAAACAAGAGTCTTATCACGTTTAGACAGGATAGATGAGTCCCAATTTCCTATGGAAGCCTAGACCAGCCCGGAAAATGTTCTGCTGTGGCCAGTCCTGTCCCTGCTAACCACGACAGCATTCCTCTCTACCAGCAGCAACAACAGTAACAACCCCAACCTGTTTGTGCCTGTTTTGAAATGAGACATTTCTCTCCCTCAGAAGGATGCCGTGAGGTTAAGTTCATTACTGGTTATGATGTCTTTCCAAGAACAACAGATGAACAATAAACAAAGGCAAAATATTGTTAAGAAGATTTTGGGCAAA